TACCGGTGTCTACGGCGCTCCTGCTTCCAGATACGAAAACTCTGGCAGTGTCTACGGCTGTCACGGCAGTGTCTACAGTAAGTCTACGGATGTCTACCGGTGTCTACGGCGTTTCTGCTGGAGGAAGCCGAGAGCACTGGGAGTGTCTACGGCTGTCACGGCAGTGTCTACAGTATGTCTACAGATGTCTACTATGTCTACCGTTTGAAAAAATGCGGTCAGTTTTTTTTCTTTGGTACAAAACGTTCCATATATAACTGTTTTATATAAGCTATATGTAGTCAGAGTGATCTATTTTGGCTAATTTAAATGAACTGCTTTACGTGAAAGACGCTCGTTTCCGCTGTTTGTTAAATCATTATTGAAATTATTAGCATGCGACACAGTTCTAACTTATCTATAATTATATTGTCTGAATAATTTGCTTGAAGCTAGTACTGTACAGTGCGTCAAAGCGGTGATAAAAATTAACTGAAATTGTAACATACACCATACGCAAAACAGTTAGCACGCCGCCAGAACTATACTGGCGAGGTCCTAACTTAGAAGAACAAACCAGTTATTAATAACCACATATCACACATATATCCATACTGCATCCTTACCTGGTTCCAAAAATCTCGATTTTTCAACCGGATCGTATGCATAACGAATACCGCTTATTCGGGTCTGTGCACGGTATCGGATCAAAAATTGGAACCCCGCATGTGAATTGTATCAGAATTTAGAACCCTTTTTTGTTGTGAAAATAGCCGCTTTCTAATCGCGACTGACAGCTGCTTTAATATCAGCTCGCTGCAGTTTCAGTAACGACTGACATATGAACACAGTTTTTGGTATCCTTTTCGGGTAATAAATTATCCAATTTGTATTATAAATGACGCCGGCGCAAATCCGCTAAACTCAGCCCTTAGAACTAAGTAAAGGGCACATCAAAGCCTTATTAATTCAGTTTTGGTCTCAAACGATCATTCTGAAAAAGGCTTTTTGAACCGGGTCATCAATCGAAACTTGTAATAAAATAACACCTGGTGATTAATTACTTTCAGTCACATTAAAATTAATTTATTGATAATGTTCAGCACTGTACAGATAGTGCTTATTGAACATACCCAGTAATACACCACGACTGCCGCCATACTGGAGACGGACAGTTTCGGACCAGAAGAAAAAATACAGTGCTGTAATTTGTAAAGCATCACGAAACAATTTCAGCAGGGAAAAGGATAGTTAATAACTTATTAATGAGTGAAGCCGCTTTAAAATTCACCACTTTATTAATAATAATCGCACAGTTCAGGTAAGAAAGAAAGAAAAACGCTATCTTATTCACAACAGCAAAACTTCATTTAAACTATCCACTCCGTCCATTGTGCCAAGGATAGATGCTGCATTTCCACGCTGAATCTCCAGCGATATTCGTTGTCGTAGAAACTCATGCGATCGACGCTCTCCTGTATGCTCTTGAAGTCTTTTGCCCAACTCCTTCACGATGGCGATAGCCGACGGGCCCCAGGGGCCCATCGTTTCAAAGGCGATGGGAGAAAAGATATAACGCCCTAGCAGATACGCATACCGTCGGGACTTCTTATCTTCGGCTTGTACAGCAGCAGTTCCAGCCGTAACCGACGTCGATAAGAGATGGGAAAAGGCCATTGTGTCAACGCACGTCACATCCCAGGCCAGACACATTCCTCTTTTCCAGGCGAAGGTTGTACAACCGTCAGGGCGTTGATCTGTTATAGAGGACGTACCGCGTGGTTCCAGCTTAGCGGGAACACCGGCTGAAACACACGCACGACATACGATGCTGTTTAAACCTCCATGGCGCGCGTGCCTACCGGCCGAGTAGCTGCACGATAAGCCATGGTGTCCTAACTTGTCAACGCGCTTCTGGCATTTGGTACAGTCATGGGGCTCACAAATATCCGCTCCAAGACGAAGACCAATAGAGATTTTAATCGTCTCATCGTCGAGGAGGTTACCGATGTGGGCTGAGGGAAGCGCATTCAACCAAATACCGGCTTCGGGTCGAGACTGAGCGAGAAAACGAGCTGTGTTAATGACGTCACCCCGAAACAGGTCCAATAAAACAGAAGCCGACACATTACAAAGCGGCAAGTCCCATGTCTTTTGGAGCTTCCGGAAACCAACTTCTGGAACTTCTGCTACGCGGGCTTTGGTTTTCCACAATTCCACTGCTTCTGAAGTATTAACCGCCGGAAGGTGAGGAAGCATCGATGACAACAAATCAGATACGGAATGAATCGAAGCCAAGTAGGCTGGAAGTGCTAATTCCTCCGCACGAAGTATGCCAATACCTCCTCGACTGACCGGAAGTGTCGCTTGTCGCCAGCATGGATAGTCATCATGGTTTACCCGGACGTTACTGAGTTCTTGAAAACATGAGCGCAGTGACTCGTCGATTTGATAAAGCAATTTCGAATCTTTCCAGGCATTGCAGCATCTGAGCACATATATTATCTTCGGGGCACCCAAGCAGTGTCTAAGTAGATACAGTGCATGGTGGCGAGGAAGAAGTTGTAACCGTTCGCAGGCTGTCTTTATGGCGCTTGATTTCTCGGAAAGAGTTTCGCCAATTGCATTATCCAGCACCGGGGCGCCTAGCAAGGTTAGAGTTGAGCTTGACACCACGCGGAGTTGTGGGTGGCGCGAAACAAATTCATCTACCACTGCTTGCCGTTCAATTTCGGTGCCTCCCGATACAAAAAGTTCACATTTAGCCTCGTTTATGTCCAGTCCAATGGCATGTGCGCCTTCGATGACTCGTCTGAAGTTTTCTGCAACAGTCGCCGGCGTTCCGCCCAGGGTTCCGTCGTCTAGGTACCAGGCATTAAGCTCGGTATCCAGCGTGGCAATTACCCGGAGCAAAGCCAGACAAAACAGCAGCGGTCCCAACGGGTCGCCTTGTTGCACCCCAGACTCAGACGACATCACCATTCCATCAATGAACAAGGAAGAATGATGTCCATACGCCGACCAAAAGAAATCATCGTATTCGGGAAAGTGTGTATGTACAGCATCCAGAACCACTTCACGAGATACGGTATTGAATGCATTGCGAAAGTCGATTTTTACGAGTGCTTTAATGCTCTCCGGTTTTGACTGGACAAAATGCCTGGCTGCGTGGACGATGGCTTCGGCTCCGCCCCGTACGTTGAAGCCAGACTGCTGAGGAGTGAGCAAGGCGGTTGCCCGGTCCGCTATTCTGCTGCAGATGATTTTGGCAAGTAGACGACGCATCGACAGTCCTACCGCTATAGGGCGCAGCCCGCCGTCTTTCTTTCGCAAAGCCAGTAATTTACCTCCAAAGAATATCGGCCGTATATCTGCAGGTACTTTGCCTTGCATAACCAAGGACAGCAAAGAGGCCATGGCTTCGCAAAAAGGACCGCTCAGATCATCTAACTTTGAACCCACCAAGTCCAGCAGATGTTGGGGCCTTAAGCCATCTGGTACTGCTGCTGAGCCCCGCGGGAAAGTGTGGATAGCGGCAAAAACCTCTGCGGCAGTTATTACGGGCGCAGCAAGAGCGGTGGTAGCGCGGCGAGCCGTAGACGGTGGGGCGCATAAGGGGTGCTTCTCTCGTAAACTTTGGAGAACTTCAGGGGTGCAGACCGCCACTGAGTCAGTAGATAACAAAACGCGCATTGCTCCGGAGATGGATCCGTCGTCAATCTTCTGACCGACTTGACGAACGAGATCCTCATCGCTGCTGCGTTTTCTCCGACTTGACGGTGGGGGGCTGGGAGGCAGATCCGTACCTTGTTCGTATAACGCGAGGTTCTTTTTCACTGCCGTTGCAAGTGAGGCTGCTCGTTCCGATTTGACTTTATCTGGGAGGCGGAGTGCACTAGGGCAGAAAGAGAGCAGCTTCGACCATGACTGGCTGTCGTTCTTGGTGGCGACCTGGTGGAGCACTTTCTGTAGCGCGGATCTCACCGCAGGTCTTGCACCATGGGGAACGCGGCGTAGTATTCGCTCCTTACTCGGGTGAAAAGATGCGGCCGTAGGTGGGGTAGGTGCAGCTCCCCGCGAATTGCTAGAAGTGGAGGCAGCGCTGGCGGCTGGGATCAGCTTCAGATCCTGCGACAGGGTCTTGGGGCAAACGGGTCTGTGGGATCCCCAGGCCTGCAACAGTTTACCGCAGCCAGAACAAGAAAACTGAGGCATGGTGGGGAGGGCATTCGCCGAAGAATATCGCAATTAAAGGAGCAGATAGTGAGGGACTTACAAGAAAATCGCTGGTGTGTCGCTGGATGTCTACGGGACAGCTGCCACCACACAGCCTCTGGAGAAACGATCTACCAGACTAAGGTCCCGTAGCCACCCTCCATACTGAATGACGGGAAATTTGTCATTCAGGGGCAAAAATCACGAGCCCAAAAATTCCAAATCACGATCTCAAGATGGCGATACGAAGGTTAAATTTAGAAAAAGCTCAAGAAAAGTCCTTTGGGGGGACAGCCGGGAAATGAACCCGGGACCACCCGCAATTTGTCTTATTTTACAATTAACAAACTCGTTAATTGTAAAATAACGAGTTTGTTAATTAGTAAAATTTAATTGTAAAATAAAATAGCCGCTTTTGTACCACGATCGACATTGGTGTTTTGACTACTGACAACCGTTCACTATGGTGCCGGCTCGGCTCATGTTTGGTATGCGTGTAGGTCAAACATCGCCGTCATTCCAAAAACAAACGGCGCCCTGTACTCGTATACAGTAAACAAACTTGGCATTTAAAGGGTAGCTCTACAAACAGCTTACTCTTATCTTATTGTTTTGCTGGCTGATAATTTTGCCCGTTGTATTTGTACAAGATACATCTGCTTGTGCCGTATCGTCATTTACATGTCATGTAAATGACGATACGGCACAAGCAGATGTACCCAAACAGTACATTTCGATGTTTGATATGCAACCGTATACTCACGTTAAAATTAGTTGCAGTAGATACAAAAGCCTCTATGCCGTAAGTAAACAAATCGTAAAAACCTCTTTCGATAGGGAATCAGGGAGAAGTTCAAAGTCGTTAAATGTTCTTATGTAAACAAACTTTTGATAGGGAATCAGGGAGAAGTAAAAAACACTATGTACACACACCTGTGCAAACACATTCCACACTTTTATTGCCGTACGTTCCAAACTTTACGAGCACACTGACCGGCAAGAGACACAGAACAGAGAGAAGGCACTGATGATCAGCCGATCTGATAAGCGCTGAACCAGGATGTGCTGCTGCTGCCCGTCTTAATTACTGCACAGACACACGTGCATTTGCAAATCTGGTCATTTGCATTGCCGCTCATTTGCGTTTGGCAATTTTGATTTTCTCGCTAATTGCACACGGTCTGCTTTTTGGCCTGCATTTTAGCGAAGTCTGACCTCGCGGTATTTCGTCGTGCTTTTTTGTGTGGCTGTGCTTTGGTTGTTTTTTCTTTTACCGTTCTTATTCTCGCCTGCAATATGGACACACCTGCAGCTGCATCTGACGGCCAGCGTCGATCCCCGCGTATACAGGAGATTGCTGCACGCACATCACCGTCTGCACCATCGGCATCCATAACAGCGGCCACGGCACCATCAACTGCCGCGCCTGCGAATGCTGAACGGCCGTCTTCCGCTTCTACGGGCAATGGTTCTCCAGCGTCTTCTGCTGCAGCACCTGTGGCCCCGCCGTCATCCTCAGAACCGATCGCCGGGGCCAGCGGTGTACAGGTACACAAATTAAAAACTTTTTATTTTTTTGTGGTTTTTGTACGTGCTGGCACATTTAGCCTTGTACTTTTATTCGGCAACAACGTGTACTCAATGACAAGAAGCCTGCGCAAATTTAACTATTTAAAATGATTAAATTTAGCTGTGTATGATCAACAAGTACGTTTCATACGTGCTATAATTATTTATTGCGTTATACGTTTTGCTGCTTCGTTTAGAAGGCACCAAGGCGACGTCCCGACCACGACCCACGGATCAAAAACAGCGTGAATGTGGGCAAGCGAATGCCTGTGGCACCCGTGGAGGATGACGAAGAGGAAGAAGACTCGGAAGAAGAAGACGCTGAAGAAGAAGAAGAAGACGAAGACGACCAAGAAGAAGAAGATCCGCAACCGGTAAGAAAAAAATCATTGCCATTTTATGGTTTGACGCCATGATGAAAAGTTTGACGCCATTGTCTGATTTTCGATTTTTTATTGCATTGCAGCCTGCTAAGCGACGCCGCACTGGCGGTACAAGTGCCACAAGCGTCGCAGCGGAACCAGCCGTCGCGGGAGTGTTTTGTGAAGGCAGTGTTGCCTATTTCGATACCACCAACGCTGTGCTGGTTGAAACTCCAACTCAGACTTTCGTTTCTGGGCAGTGGCACGGACGCTTCTTGATGCCAGTCAGTAACTTCCGTGGCGCTGATCTCTCCGGCATCCCTATTGCGGGTCCTACGCATCCCGATCGCCGCTTGCCTGTGGGGGACGTCGAGGAGAAAAACCGCGCTTTATACGAACGTCATATGGAAAAGTGCGATTGTACGGGGCTACGTGTGTGGCTATTGCTACGCCAAGGCTGAATTTAAGCCCGCTGTCCATATCTTCGCTGATCATCGCCGTTCAAAGGCGCGGCAGGATTGCATCCGCCATGTTATCGGCAAGCGGGCTGTGGGTGGACGGGCAGCGCAGGGCCCATGCGTGTACTTCGCCCGCGCCGAACCGGATTCTGCGGGCATCAAAGGCGTCACTGCACCAACGAAAATCGAACCGTTGGTTCCGTACGTAAAATTGCCCCTGGTGGGAATAATGAAGTTGTTCCGCATAAGGGGAAGCACTATGGCAACATTCGAAAGGAATGAGATTCCGTGTTATTGTTTCTGTTGCGGGTAAATTTTGTATGGTTGGTGTCTTCTCCATGAAGTATTTTTGTTTTATTGCTCTAATGTCCTGAATGCTGTGCAACACTATTATGATTTTTGTTTCTCATCGCCCAATGCTATCATGATATTTTGTTATGTATACGCCGAAGTACTTTTTTATGGCTTTTTCATGCCGCATTATGAATTTCGAAGAACGAATCAACTTAAACGTTACATTTTACACATTTTACGTACATTTATGCAAATCTGCAAGTGCAATGTAAAAATCCTTCTCCGCATTCTGTACACAATAAAATGAAGTGAAAGTTTCTGTCAGCATACACATGAAATTTCTGACATATGGGTTCGTTAAACAGCGCTCTCTTTGCATTTGCATGCCATAAAAAGTTACAAGTGTAAATTAACACCTGTTTAAGCGCTTGATAGGCTTTCTCCACACGTGCACCACATCGCACCACTGTTTACTTTCGACCTGGCATGGCGTGTACGCGAAGTCGCTTGTAGCCAATAAACTGTTTCAAAATGCAGTAAAATTTTCAAACTGCAATCTTGTAAGATGGTTGACCATGCGTAAGTTACCGACAACGACAGACTTTCAGTTTAAAATTTCCAAGCCGTTGTAAGTTTTGAATTTTTATCTGGGCATGGATTCTCGTGCAACTTCCACGCCGAATACCGGCTGTACCAACGACATCGACGTGGACGATTTAAGCCTAAGCGCTATTTTGACCAAACGTTTTGTCTGCTTTGGCCAAAGAAGCTTGGCCGGAAGTTACCAACGCCGAAGTTGAAGCTGGTACGTTCATATCGCGTTTAAATTAGGTGAAACGAAAAAATTTATTTCGCTTATTTGCTAGCCATGGCCAATATTGACGACGCAAGTGCACTGCCTTGTGGAAGCCAAGATTCAACGCCTTTGGCAAGCAATTCCGCGGGTACTAATTTTTTTTTTGTTTTCATTTATTACACATTTATCAGTCATATACTGTTTTTTAGAGAGCGAGAACACCCGACCGGAATTAAAAGCGGATGATAGCGATGTCATCGTCGTAGATGATCTGGTCCAAGAGCCATCCAACGGTCGAATTCCGGTTAACAGCCGTAAGTAAACTGAATTAATATTATTGTTATATTTAGTATAAATAAATACAGTATCGGTTTTTCTAACGCAACGTACAACTTCTCATGCCGCATATAAATTCGGATATCACATAAAAAACGTTTGACGCCATTTTTGCCGCCATGTATAATATGTTTATATGTGTTTAGCGCAATGGGAAAATCCTGATCAAGCCGACGAGCACGATGATGATATTGTCATCGTTTCATCATCTCAAGCTAAGAAACGGAAGCCTCTTGTGCAGACGTATCTTGCTCCACCTGGCAACCGGAAGCAAGCGCCACCGGCGCCGTACAAGAAACGAAAGGCTATCCATGAGCGCTTCGCGAATATGCCAGCATCGCCCGTACAGTACGGAGCTGGACTTCCTCGAGGTGTGCTTAGCGCTCCCCTGCTCCGCGGCCGTGGCCGCCTGTGGCTATACCCGGATTGAGGCGTCCACCGGTCATGCCGGGGCCGCGCCCCAGCACTTCGCAGATGGCAGCAGCAGTTCCACGTGCCGAAATGACGATAAGGCCGAACGTGCCCTCCAGCTAGTACGTCCGTGGGGAGTTCCAGGATATATCCCGGCTATGCCTGGATACTATCCCGGTATGCCAGGATTTGGACAACCATTTCCGCACTGGTATGAGCCGAATGCGTATCAGCGGGAGTACGACATGATGATGAACATCATGCACGGTTTTGGTATCGGGAATGCTAACAATGGGCACGGCTTCGGTTTGAACGGAATCGGAAACGGCAACAACAATGGGGACCGCTTCGATAATAACAGGAACGACAATCACGGGCATGGAAGCGTCGTCAACGGAGATAATAATAATAATAATGGAACTCAGTAAGTTTCGGCGACGCGAATCATTTTGCCTCAGCGCTGTTATTATCTATGCGATATAATTGTGTTTACTTGCATGCTATCGTTTTATTTATACTGACCGTACGATATTCTGATCATCCCGCTAAAATTAATTCTGTGGTTTAAGTGAAACTGTATAAACAGGTTGATGCTGGATATTTGATTTTTTTATGCGTGTTTCACTGCTCAATGTTAACCTGCTTATGGTCTGTATTCAGCGTGTGTTTGAGAACTGTGTGCTGTTTCTGATTATCATTAATTGTTTTATTATTCTCATATGTTGAATACTGATATTTGGCTCGATGCATGTATATGCATGATACGTTTGCCGGACATTATATTTATGCCTTAAGATAAAATTAAATAAAAAAAAAACTGTACCGTTTGGAGATCTGTAACTGCATGCATATCACGCTAGCACAAACAGCAACAACAGCGCAATAGAATCTTAGTTTATTTTTAGAAACAGAAAACTGTACCAAATCAACCAAAACACGCGACGCATCACGACCGCAGACAACTTTCGAACCACGGAAGATAGTTTTACCCTACTATTTCGGCTCACTCCACAACCTATGTCACTGATGGCGGCGTCGGCGGAAGTGCGCAAGCTATTCAGTCAACTTTTGGCGGAGCTTTCGGCTTATCATCAAGTGAACGGTAATGACAGAGTGCGCATTGTTTTTGAACATCCGGAATTAGCAAATCGAGCATTTTCAACTCCCGTTATGCCTTCCCATAAACTATCTCCTGAGTTTATACTTCAGCTAATCGTGCGCATCATGCAAAGTGGAATGAATTTTTATTTATTTACCGATGATTTGCGGATCACTTTTACGCATTGCCGCAATATCCAGGGACGGGGTCGTTTACCAGTAAAGAAGGGGAGAATTATGTTTAAGGTGAATGAGATGCTGGAGCGGTCCAAAAGTGTTGTTTGCATCAAGAACAACACAACGTATGATCCTGAAGGAACTTTATGTGCCTCACGAGCAATTGTGGTTGGATTAGCGCAAACGCTCGGGTTACCGGGTTTTACGTCAGTACTTGATTCAAGAATAAGCATACAACATCACCTAGCTGCGCAACTACGTGCAGAGGCTGGTGTTTCAGACGGTCCTGTTGATTTTGATGGAATTGAAAAATTCGGAAAACTTTTAACGGAACGCTATGATACTCAGTTAATTGTCATCGATGCGGAACTCCATTTCGAAATCACTTATTCCACACCTTTTCGAAAAAACTTCGTCGCTATACTATATCATGATCAACATTTTGATTGTGTAACCAAACCATGGACGATTCTGGGATTTCGTGCACGGTGCCTTATCTGTGGTAATTTTTACCACGATAAAAAGAGTCACAAATGTTATCGTCCCTGTTACTCTTGCATGCAGCCCGACTGTCGATTGAATGATTTTGTCAAAAGAGTTTGCAACGACTGCAATCGCAACTTTCCATCCGACGAATGTTTTGAAAAGCATAAAGAACGAATTGCTTACAAATCCAAGGATCTTACCGTTTGTGATGCCTGGAAGAAATGCGCAGACTGCAACAGGTAATTACTGTAATTTTATTAAAAGTGTTATTCAACGTAATTAATAACAGTTGCACTGAAACATATTTTGTGACTTCAAAAGCTAATTTATTAGGTACATAAATCCGCCTGGCCGGAAGTACTCGGACCCACATGTCTGCTATGCGACGCTGTGCCTGAATTGTAAAGAATTTGTTCTTCCTAACCATTTGTGCTATATTTTAAATGGAGAAAAAGCGCAAAACAAGAAAGCAAAACCAAAGAATCAAGCGGTTGCTGAAAGCGAAACTTTTGCTTCTGAAGATGATGCCGTGTCGGATTTTCTGGACGATGATGCGGAAAGTGAAGCACGCAGCGAAGAGTTTTGCGATGATGTGGATGAAGTCGTTAGTGATGACGCGGATGATGAGTGCGAAGACTCCGAATCCACTATTTCCGAGACAAGTAAAAAACAGCAAGTCCGTTTTGAGAACAAAAAATTTGTTTTGATTTTGAAACATGCCTGGACAACAGTCGATATCACCAGCCGATGGTCGTGGCCATGATGTGCTTGGACGATGATTCGTTTGAGATTTGTTTCAGTGGATACGGATGTGTTTCTGAGCTACTTGAATGGATTTTTAAAAACTGCCGATCGTGCACCTTTTTGTCACACAACGGAAAGCGTTACGACAACTTTTTCATCCTTAGTGGATTAGAAAAGGAAGGCCACATCGTCGAAAAAATTCAAGATGGCTCCAGTATTACAATGCTAAAAATTCCCGGGCTGAAGTGCAAGTTCATCGACACGCTGTCCTTCATGCCACGTTCTCTTTCGGAGCTTCCAAAAGATTTGGGAATTGACGATTTAGTTTTGAAAGGATTTTTCCCTTACGCGTTCAACACGCCGGCAAACCAAAATTATCATGGACCGTTGCCAGGTAACAACTTCAGAAATAAAATTTTACTTTTCATGGCGTCAAAAATGGCGTCGAAGTTTTAAAAATTCAATTTTTTTATTTAGGAAAAGAATATTTTGACTGCCCGCGGATGTCACGAAAGAAATTTGAAGAATTCGAGAAGTGGTATGATGATGCCGTTAATACCTTTGGGAGCAATTACAACCTCCTGGAGGAATGCAAGAAATACTGCGTGAACGACGTTTTGGTTTTAAGAGAATGTTGCCGGATTACACGCAAAAACTTCATGGATATGTTTCCTGGTATCGATCCATTCGATTCTGTAACAAATCCGTCAGCAGTGCTTCTGGCTTTCCAAGTTCATTATTTGAAACCAAACACCATCGGGATTATTCCTCCAGGTGGTTACGGCGGGCGACAAAATCAAAGTTTCAAAGGATTTCAGTGGTTGTCGCATATCGAAAGACAGTTGCAAGAGAAACAACCGGAGGATTTCCTTCAGACTGCTCGTTCAGCTGCAGGTGAAAAGTTTTTGGACGACAAAATATGTGTTGATGGATTTTGGGAACCCACCGGAACATGTTATCAGTTCTACGGGTGCTTTTGGCACGGCTGCAAAAAATGCTTCCCTGACCAACGGAAAATGAACACGGTCAGAATGCGTACTTTTGGCGAATTGCGAGAGGAAACGCTAAGGATTAAAAGAAAGATTGAAAGCTATGGCAGATTTTTTGTGGGAATCTGGGAATGTGAGTACGACGAATTGGTTAAAAATGGAAAAATCATACCGCAAAAAGAATTTCGACCGCCACTGAATGTACGTGACCACTTGTTCGGCGGAAGGACTGAAATTTTTGCCATGTATAAAGAAATTCCACCACCGCTGAAAGGAAAAGCTTTCGATTTCATATCCTTGTACCCGTCAATAATGGTGTACGGCAAGTATCCAGTGGGTCATCCTACGATTCTTTACAATAACTTCGGCGACCCGTTCGACTTATCGGAATATTACGGCGTGATTTATTGCCGTGTACTTCCCCCTAAGAATTTGTTTGTACCGACGTTGCCAATGCGACTGAAAGATGGAAGAACCGTCTACACGTTATGCAGAACATGTTCTGAAGAAGTTAATATTGCCAAACAGTGTGAGCACACAGATGAAGAACGGGAACTTGAAGGTGCATGGATCACTCCTTTAATGGAACAAGCTGTATCGGACGGGTACAAAATTGGCCACATTTTTGAGATCCACCATTTCGAAGAAACGTCGCAATTCAATCCTGAAACCAAAAACGGAGGAATTTTCGCTCAGTTTATTCTTGACTTAATCCGTGGCAAAATCGTGAACAGCGGGTTTCCGGCGCACATCGTGACGGAGGAAGAGAAATGGGATTACTGCCGCAACTATGCCGAAAAGCTAGGAATTGTTTTTGAACCTGACGAAGTGCAGCTAAATCCAGGCGCAAAATACTGTGCGAAAATTTGGGTCAACGCTGTGTGGGGCAGGTAAAAGCAATATTATCGATATTTTGTAGTGTGTTTCTGTACTAAATTTTTGATAGGTTTGTTATGAAAGCGCTGTACCAGCAACATAAATACTGCACTACTTATAAGCAAATGAAGGACATCGTTTTCAATACATCGTTCGAAACAAAAGATGTTCGGATCGTGAATAACGGCAAAGCGTTGGATGTCACCTATATGGAAAAGAAAAACTGGGTATTATATTTCGGATTGATTTTTGTCAGTTTTATTCAGCATTGCATTTTATTTCTTTTAGGCTGCGCCAAACAAACGATGCAATCCGTACATTGGTGTTTTCACTACTGGTTTGGCTCAACTGAAGCTGTTGCAGCAACTACGGCTAGTTGAGGATCGTCTTCTTTATTGCGACACGGACTCCGTTATGTTTGTTAGTGAACCGGAAAAGCCAGATCCACCTCTTGGAGATCTGTTGGGCGAGTTCTCCGATGATCTGGGTGGTAATTATTTCGTCGAATGGTTGGCACTGGCAAAGAAAACGTACTGCCAAATGATGTCTAACGGGGAGGAACGGATCAAATGCAAAGGTATCCCGAAAACCGAAGCACTGAAAGATCGTTTCCACGGATCGGTACTACGGGACATGTTATTCAGCACTGGCCCATCAACTGTCCAAGCATGCGATGACATAACGTTCAAACGGAACACCACGGACTTTACCATTCAAACTGTGCCTTTGCAGCGGCGCGTGGGATGCACATTTACCAGCAGAGTGATCGGAGAAAATTTTGTAACGTACCCGCACGGATATGAAAATATTCCCTTTCCTAAAATCGGCTCGAAGGAAATGGATCTCGTATTTAATTTGCTTGAGAAATACACCCCTGCTATGTTGTATGAAAACATTGACGATGATGTGGCTCTCGAATCCTTAGTGGATTAGCATAATTTCTACTAATTCTGGTTTGCGTATCTTTATTTGTGTTATGGCGTCAAAAATGGCGTCAAAGTGTATACTGTGTTCTTTTTGATTTTCTACTTTTTCTGTCGAACAACTGAATATTCTTTGCATTTATTATATTAAAAAACGTGAAACATCGGTGGACATTGTCTTCTTTCAAAGTAAAGCCGAGCAAAAAGCGATAGCGCAGAACTATTTACCATTATTCAAAACTGAGGGCACACAGAGATTATTCGCTTTTCCGTTCTACATACAAATAATGTCAAACTAATACGATTGCACGAGAATGATGAAATTTGCAATACCAATGAGCGCACGCAAATTATTCCAATATGCATTCTGCCATGTGCAATGCAGAAATTTCCATATCCCAGGCTTCCGGCTTGTTGAAATGTCCCAGCGGCAATTCCTGTCCTAGTTCATTCTCCAAACGGTGAAGTAAGTAACACAACGTTGACCAAGTTCCAGCGATAGACTTCACCCCTGTGCAATCCGAATACATTGTTCTTTGTCGACACTAGTTTCAAGTGGCGTTGGAAAACACGTCACGGTGGTGTTTCGCTTTCCACGGAAAGAGATCGTTTGAGCAGTACCATCCGTACGAGCCAGATGCATGTTATCAATGACCGAGCGATCTTCAAAAATTCGGAATAACTGGGCCATTTCTAAATCGTGTAGACAGATGCCGTTCTTTTCAATGAGGTCCAAATCGACAACGTTTGGTTCAAGGGTCGTAACCATTTTCACCTTCCGGTCACACCAAGTCACTAACACCATAACACTGCAATTCAAATAATACACTGTCGCGCCATCAATACTACCGATTTCACGAAACTCATTCCTCAGAGCTTCAATGTACTCTTTATATCTAATTTCAAATGCTGCGTCCATTGCAAAAAATATAAGAACTCCTTACTAAATCAAATTCAAATGGAGAGATCTAAAATTTGCAATCTTTTGTTGGTAGCCGGACACAGCCGATTATCATCAGTGTACTTGTGGGCAGCCCCAACTATTTAGGCCGCACGCGATTGGTCAGAAAGAAAAAATAAAAAATTGCTGCCAAGATGGACGCGCAACAGATACAACGCCACGTGCTTGACATTTCACTCATCAGTTGGTTTGTTCAATTTTTTAAACCTAAAAATGTCGCATTTGAGAGCCGAAAATAATGGGCGTTTGAAAAGCGAGCTTGTGTCAGGGCTTTGTTCTTCCGGAAGTTCTCGCTTACCAGTACATGATCAAAAATCCCTTTTGTATAAACGCAGTGTCTCTGCCTTCAAATTTATCGTTGCGTATTTGATGAACCAGCAGTTCATGCAATCGGAGCGTTTGGCCTGCAAGGGTTGTTATTCTGTGTCACTGGAGCATTCATGCAAAAACCGACTCAGTGATCGTAATTTAAAGTCTTCAGTCTTTTATATTTTATTAAACACTCTCAACAAAAGAAAGCTGAAAAGAATTTTCAACCAGGTTTTCGAGGAATATACAGGCGAAAAGAATAAAATCTGCACTTGTATTTTATATTATAAATGCCTGACTATCTGGAGACCGCTGATGCGTAAACAGTTTTTGGATAACGCTCTTCCTAAAGGTTTGGACAAAAAATTGGTTAAAATCATTCATGGAATCATTGTTGAAAAAAATTTATCTTAACCCAGCATCACCTGGGGGTTTCGGTGGCATCAGAAAACTTCTTCATGCCGCAAGAAATGAATCAAGTGAAAAGATTTCTGAAAGTGATGTGCGTGAATTTCTCACAGCTCAGCCAGCTTACTCTTTGCATAAACCTGTCAAGAAAAAATTTGCTCGTCGACCGTTTGTTGTTATGTCATTTGGTGAACAACTCCAAGCCGATTTAATTGACTACAGTTCATTAGCTGTACACAATGACGGATATAACTATTTGCTTGTGGTAGTCGATTGTTTTTCACGTCAAGCGTGGGTGGAACCTCTCCGGCAAAAATCCGGTATTCAAGTAAAGGATGCTCTTCAAAAAATTTTACAACGTTGCGGCTTTCAACCAGTGCGACTGCAAACGGACCTGGGAAAAGAGTTTTACAACCAACATGTTTCCGGTTTGTTAAAAGAGTATAATATTGATCATTTTTCTACTCAGAACGCTGAAATTAAAGCCGGTTTAGTGGAACGTCTTAACAGAACAATTTCAACAAAATTATTTCGCTATCTCACATTTAACAAATCAAAGAGATGGATTGATGTTATACAAGATATTTTGGATTCATACAATAACTCTCCACATCGCTCACTAAAGAACCATACGCCTAAAGAAGTAAACAAAGAAAGCGAAGCAGAGTTCGTGAAAATAATGAAAGAAACGTGGAAACTTAATCATATTTTGACAAGAAATTCGAAAACCAACATTAATGTGGGAGACTACGTTCGATTAAGTTTAAAAAAAACTCCCCATGAAAAGGGATACACGATTGGGTGGACCATTGAAGTGTACAGAATAAAAAAGCAAAGATACGAAAGACGGCCTTGAAGTATTTTTTGTGGAAGATTTGAAAGGTGAGCAATTAGAAGGAAAATTTTACCTTGAAGAATTGCAAAAAGTGGCGAAAGAAACGAATGAATCCGCTGAAATCGCTGTTATTGGAAAAAAGAGAAACAAAGTCCTTATTCATTATGTTGGGTGGAATAAAAAATTTGATGAATGGATTTCAGTTTCCGAGTTAGCTAAACGTGGTCTAGTGCTTGTTTAAATAATCAATCATGGATTTTACTATTACTGCTACTTCTGATAAGCTGAACGGCAATACTGCCTCTGAGTTTACCGTGTATTTACCTGATTATATGCAACTCTCGTCAGATTATGAAATGGCTTTAACGTTTATACAATGTCCGAAGCCAATAAATTCTGATGTAACCACCCTTTTTGTGCACTCTGATTTAATAAGAAGTCAAATTTTAAATAATTCAAGAGTTTCACTATTAGCTTTGCTGTCCGTCAAAGAAGCATGTGGCGGAAACGCATCGAAACGTGGATCGTACACTGACATTGCCGTCAATCAGTTTGACAGAATTTCATTTTCGATAACGGATGCAAGTGGCAAAAACATTTTATTTGAAAAAGGCGCTACTACTGTACTTCAGTTACATTTTCGGAAAAAATAATCATGGATGATATCCAAACGTTCAGCATACCTGCTCAGGTTTATGTGCAGCTATTATCACCAACATATAACCACAGCGAAGGGCATGCACAAACTGGATATGGCGCTATTGGGAATTTTTTTGGTAGTTTGGCTAGAACGGCTAAAAATATAATATTTCCAAACCTCGTAAGGTTAGGGAAAAATGTTGTTAACGACGTTCTTCATAACAAGACGCCTCTGTTGGATTCGGCTCGGAATCATACTGTGGAAGCTATGCAAAACATCGCTAGTAAAATTCAGGGAGGGTCCGGAAAGCGAAGAAAGCGCAGAACTCGCTCCAGAAAAGTTGTCAAAAATATAGAAAAGCCAATCACGAAGCGGAAGCGTCGCCATCGAAAAAAGAAGCAGGCAGCAAAACCGAGAAAGCGAGCTGCTAAACGTCACAAGAAATCAAAAGTGAAAAAATCTTTGAAGAAGAAAAAGCTGCGTTTTCCTCTGAGTAATTTACTGAATCAGAAATAAATTCTATAGAAAGCCACGTGGCAATCATGGATCTTCAATCAGCTCCTCTATGTTTAAAGTCTGAGTTGGACCACTTTTCATTTCCGCCTACCCAAACGGCTATCGAATCTGCAAAATATGTATCTTATAACCCAATTGGGAATACTCTTGATGTTGATACCCTTTCATGGGAAATCGCTGGGACTCCCGATGAAATGATTGATTTGGCTCACAGTGTAATTTTGTTGGATGTTTGTGTACGAACCTCAGGAAACGCACTACCAGCGGATGCATTAAATTTTGGTGCAGTGAATAATTTAGCGCGTAGTTTATTTAGCGGACACGAACTTTTATTTAACGGCGAATCAGTTTCATCGATACCATCGCTATCACATTACGCATCGTACTTTGAGAATTTATTTAATTATGGAGAGCATGGCCATGAGCAGCTGTCACATGCTGGATGGGTTCCGGAAACCCCGGGTCAATTCGACACGTTGTTGCTAGCCGTACCCGACCCAAATGATAATGACTTGAAAGTTAACGAAGCGTATGTTGTCCGAAATCTGGCTCTTAAAGCGGGAATCACACTGCGTCTGTTTTTTAAATTTCCGTCTGATTTGGCTAATCAGCAGCGTCTGATTCCGACTAAAGTGGACATGAAACTTGTTTTAACACGGGCTAAAGATAAATTTGTTCTTATGTCAAGCGTTCCAGCCCTAGATTTAAAAATTGTTATTCAGAGAGCAACACTACGTTTGAAAAAATTAGGTTGGACCCAGAATTTTTGCTGGCTCATGAAATTATGTTGCAAAAACGTAATGCCTTAATTCCATTCATTGAATCTAACATTATGGAAATGACTATCCCGAACGGAAGTAGTCATTGGTCGCGGGACGATTTATTCCGCGGGACAATTCCCAAACAAATTCTTGTCGGCATTGTACATTCGCAAGCTGTTGGCGGCGTGTTAACAAGAAACCCATATAATTTCGTTCTTGCTGGAGTTGGTCAGATTGTAACTTATATCAACTCGGAGCCGTTCCCAGGGAAGCCTTTAGAATTAGGGGATCACAATTACCGCGATGGTTATCTAAGCTTAATGGAAACGACCGGAATGCTGTTTAAGAATTCGTGCCTGTCTTTTATGCAAGGCGACTGGGGACGTGGGTTTGCAATTTACGGTTTCAATTTAGAACCGGATGTCGGAGATCATTCATGCATTAATGCACCTCGCAAAGGAATTTTAGGATTGTCAATTACATTTTCCACACCAACAACTGAGACCTATTCAATTTTAATTTACCACAACAGAAACGCGCTGATAGAAATCGATTCTCGCCGGAATGTTTACTGCCCCTATAAGCGTGCCTAACAAAAATAATGAATAACTACGAAATACTGGACATTATTCAACACGACGCCTGTTTGGCTAAGCATTTTTAGGCGTGTATTCACG